AGAAACGTTTCTAGTTGGATGAATTTGGGCACTCCTGTAGTGGCCCGTACGTTTCCTAAAATCGCGTAGCGTTAACGGGCACGACTTTAGGAAGTACTGGTGCTTTAAAAAACAATTTTACTAATTTCCTTGTGGGGTATGGTTCTTCACTCCTTAATCTTGGCAGCAAGTAAGTATGCCTCGTGGAATGTCTGGGGGCCTTACCAAGCCGCATCCAGACCCAGGCCGTAGGGGGAAAAGAGCCCCACGTAGAGATTCAGGGCCTGGACAAGTAACAGTTGACGAAAGTCAACTGTCGGATGCCCAAAAGTCAAAGTCAAAGTGTACCCAGCCCAGGCCGCCGGTCAGACGCACACACTTGTTTGTATGCAGGTACCCAGACAGCATCAGGACCAAGGCGAAGTCTGCAAGTGTACACAATCCAGGCCCTCAGCTGTGATTCAATCTGTACGACTGGGGGGGGGGGGACCTAAGACCAGACAGCCTCGTCAAATGCTACACAAGGCTGGGTCTCCAGGGAATCAACATTCAGTCTTGCTATGCTGCCTCGACGCTGGCTTGACTCTGGCTGGTTGCTGGCTTGACGCTGGCTGTGTGCTAGCACTGTGGACGACGACGTGGGACTGTGGTGGCATGCTGGCACCTTCTGTTCTGTGCGCCAGGCATTGCTGACGTGGCGCTGCCACCTGTCTACATTGCTGATGTGGTGCATGCCACTTGTCTACATTGCTGATGTGGCACATGCCACTTGTCAACATTGCTGATGTGGCGCATGCCACTTGTCTACATTGCTGATGTGGCGCTGCCACCTGTCTACATTGCATTGCTGATGTGGCACTGCCATCTGTCTTCATTGTTGATGTGGCGCATGCCACCTGTCTCTACTGCTGATGTGGCATTGGCCACGCTGTGTTCATGAGGTGACTGGTTGCGACAAGGAGGGAGATTGGGATCTGTGGATGATTGAGGGACGGGGTACTTACCTGAGGCTGACGTCGATATTGTACGCCGCTGGTTGCCTTCATTGTCTCCACAGGAGAATAGTGCCACGTGGCACTTCTATGTGATCAGGACTTATCAGACTTGTTACTGTATATTGGTTAATGACGTGGAGGTGAGAAGAAGCCCGGCGAAGGAGTGGGTGATTGGGCTATTCTTTTGTGGTCACTGATTATCTTTTCCACCCTCTCATCTGTCTATTCACCCTCCACTCTCTTCGTCTATTTGGTAACAAGACATCGTATCAGATATCACTTGCACGAGTATTGGAGACATTGCACATATCTGAGACCACTTGTGCTTCGGCGTCTGATGAGTATCTTCCAGTCTGGGTTCATTACATACACTATACTCCTTTCTCAAATCTTTCATCATCTTTCAATTTTCTTCGATTCACCTTCACTACTGCTTTGAGACTCTTGTACATGAGCGAATTGTGTGCAAATTCTCATCCTTAACCAATGGTCCCAGTACGTTCCTTTTCCGGGTTGTTTGTGGAGGGATTCCCGGCCTCCTTTTCTTTTGTTTGGTAATAAAATGTGCTGAGTTGCTTTGGCGAGGATTTCACTCCTCGGCATACCTGCATAAGGCCCTGCAACGGACGCGTGCCCGCCCTAAGTGAAGGCGGGCCCCTTAGTTCGTCAATTTTTGCAAAGCCCTGGGTGGGCGCCAGACAGTTGC